TACCACAATAATACATAAAAAATAATAATAATAAAATAAACATACGTATTAATAAATAGGTTTATATATATAAATATATACACATACATATGTATACATAGATAATAAATAAATAAATATAAATCTGTTGCTAGAATTGGTTATCAATAACCACAAAGTGTTAGGTAATGCTTCTTGACGTCACTTTTGAAACTTTCCAAAGTTTGTGCTCGTTGAATTTGGAGTGGAAGTTCATTCCATAACCTCATGGCTTGGCTCGTAAAAGAATATTTCATAAATTTTGTTCGAAATGAACATGGTTCTAGAATTAGTTCGCCGGCTGACCGAAGAACTCTATCAGGTCGATCATGACCAAGAAACTTAAAGTTTTCCTTTAAGTAGCTTGGAGTCAAAGGATTGAACAACACACAGTACAGAAGAGATACAGTTTGCAAATTCCGGCGAAAGCGAATGGGTAACCACTTGAGCTGTAAACGATATTCGGATACATGATCATATTTGCGCAAACCAAATATGAACCTAATTGCAATATTTTGAATTCGCTCAAGTTTGTTCAGTTGGTCTTCAGTTAAATCGAGGTAACTTGCGTCCGCATAATCGAGAATAGAGAGAAGTAAGGATTGTGCTAACATAATCTTGGTGGGAATGGGGAGAAAAGAACGTAAACGACGAAGTGAACCCATAGTAGCAAACACCTTTTTGCTCACTTGTTTTAACTGCTGCGACCACGACAAGGTAGAATCTAGATATATCCCCAGATTTTTTACAGATTTACTGTAGGGTATGACAACGTCATTTAATGTCACCGAGGGTAGGTTGTTCCAGTCAACTCTGGAGACCATCCCTCCACCACCAATAACTATAGCCTGGGACTTGAACGGATTAATTTTTAGACCATAACGCTGACTCCACTGGTTTATCGCCGCTAAGTCATTGTTGATGGTGGCAACAGCAGAAGGCAGATTTAACAAAGTTGACTGAGTGTAGATTTGGAGATCGTCTGCATACATGTGATAGAGAGAAGCAATATTTTGAGAGATAGAATTAATGAATATAGCAAAAAGTAAAGGAGACAGCACACCACCTTGAGGCACGCCAGCCCGTAATTCGCACCAAGATGAGAACTCATCTTCGATGCGAACACGCTGCCGTCGGCCATAAAGATAACTATGAAACCAGCCAATCACCGGAGGAGATATGTTAATAGAACGTAACACACTCAATAAGATGTCAAAATCAACAGTGTTAAACGCATTGCTAAAATCAAGCAATACCAACACAGTGAGCTGTTTGTTATCCATACCTCGTCGAATGTCATCGGTAACTTTAACCAACGCTGTTGTCGTACTATGACCCGATCGGAAACCAGATTGGAGAGGATCCAGGATACAATTTCTATTTAGGTAGAGATTTAACTGAAAGAAAACTAGTTTCTCCAGGAGTTTGGATAAAAACGGGAGAATTGAGATAGGACGAAAGTCGGAAAAATGCAAAGCATGGGCTTTTTTAAGGAGAGGCGTTACAAGTGCACTTTTCCAAACATCAGGAAATTTTGAAGAGGAGATGGATTTATTCAAGATATGGGTGAGGATAGGAGTAACAAATTCTAGGATAGGTAGGATCATGTTACGACTAACATTGTCATCACCCACGGCATTGGACGAGATGGACAAAATGTTCTTTTTAACATCACTATCAGTGAAAGGAGAGAAATTAAACGGTGAAAAATCAGGAGTTGGTATTGAAGAAAGAATACTCAGAGTCCGGTCTTTATCTGAGCTATTTAATGTGCTAGAGCAGGCGAAATATTTGTTAAGGAATTCAACATCAACATTATGATGAGGAGAATTATTGGATGTTTTACCAACTCCAAGAGACTGTAGAAACTTCCAAACTTTGGCTGCGTCGCCGTTTTCGACGGATTTGTGAATATGGCGTCTTTGTGCATCCCTACACAATGTATTGCAGCGATTCCGTACTTTATTATAATATCGTAAATTTTTCTCAGATTTATCAGCTTTTAACTTACTTTTAGCAAATCCTTTTTTTTATAATAAGTTTTTTTAAACTATCCGTTAACCAAGGTGCAGGTAAATGTTTCATTTTTATTGGTTTTACTGGGGCATGGATGTCATAAAGTTGGATAAGAAAGGAGTTAAATAACTCGACTTTCAAGTCGACTGTTGAAGCATTTTCAACAGCTGACCAATCCATGCGACTAGCATCTTCCAGAAGACGTTCTTTGTCCATTCCACCAAAATTACGTTGCAGAAGGATTCTCGATTTTGCTTTAGGAGGACGGACTTATACATATTTTGTATGTATGTTTTCATTAATTCGAATTGCAATATTTCTCTAGTATATATTTGAGACTATATTGTAATTTATCGTAGGTATAGTAATTAATTATTCTAAAAACGCAATTATGTTTTCGATAGTATTATTAACAGCAGGCTGGCCCGTGATTTTTCTGAAATATCGTCACGATACTGATTACCTACGTCATACGTGTCAGTGTTTCATATATGAATGTGTTTGAATATGTTTTTGGTCAACAATAAATACAATAATTATAAATCGGTAAACTACCAAAGTAGTCACAAAATTAAACTTGCAAACATTTGCTAAATATGGTTTTGCCGGGTTACATTAAACACCCTTTACGCATTTTGCAAACAGTTTCAGACACACACATTATTAGTTTGTTATATTTTGCAGAGCTCAAGTTCACTCGTCACTACGTCACACCTTATGATGCGTTCAGAAATAAATATAATTCAGTTACATAAAATCCTTTTTTCTAGTGTTTAGTGTATATTTTGGTTAAAAAATGTATGGGCGGACGGTCGATGCATCCACCTTAATATGTTCTAAATGATTTAAGTGGATGATCCCCTTTAGGCTTTGCACCCATCTATCAAACGCTCTGTATAATTAACATATTATAATTATAGTACATTTATGAAAGTTTCTCACAGCATTTTTAGTAGAAGCGAAGTCATAAAGTTTACAGCTCACTACCGCAGGAATTGCACATTTTCGGCCTTTTATAAGAAAGTAGGCTCTTTTCTTGAATGCTCTTAATCGGTCCAGAAAAAACCGCTTCCGACAGTAACTTGCACAATGTGAACCTCACGGCTGTGAACTACTGATGTGCATGTTCGTTTTAAACTCATGCAATCTAGCTAGCCAGCACACCGCTCTATTATGACTGGCAGTAGCCAGTAGTAGTAACCATGGATAGTAAAAGAAAATTGAATGCTTATTTATATTTGAGTATGTAAGCGTAACATTTCTATCATACATATGTATATATACACACACATATATATATATATATATATATATATATATATATATATATATATATATATATATATATATATATATATATATATATATATATATATATATATGACCGACGGTGGAAAATTTCCGGAAAACTCTGTAAAAACTGAACTCCGATTTTCCGTGATTCCAAACTGCATGCCATGGTTATACGAGGGTTGCATGCCAATTTTTCCAGAGTGTTTTTATTACAAAAACTTCAATTCTTTACATCGGCATGCAATTTAAAAACACAGAATATCCCTTTAATTTTTTTCAGGTTTTCAGAACCCTTTAATCATCTTGGGCCGCTGCGGGCATGCCATCAATTATTAGAGCTTCAATTTGCTTGAACTTCCGTACATTACATTGGCATGCAGTATACTATCACGGAAAAACACGAAAATTCATTACACAAAGAAAAGCGCTTTTCCTTATGAAGAGGACGCGCGGGGGGGCTAAAGCCCCGACAATCCTTGATATTTTAGGGTTAGTTATCAAGCCTTAAAAAGGCATGCACGACAAAATCGTGGAACGTCACCTGCCACCAGCTCCCGATCTAATATACAAGAATTGCTCGTTTAAAGGTAGATTACACAAGGAATTAAAAAGTCTAATTTTGAATGTTGTTTATAAGTTAAATGTTGAAATAATAAAAAACAAAACCTTAAATGATATAGTAAGAATAGATTTTGTCAATCTTTGTCAGCATTTTTTTACATTAGTGTTTCGGGTGAATGGCACCCAAAGTTCAGTGATACAAAGAGAAAAATTATAAAGTGTAACAGTGAGACTTTATGGACAACGTTACACTCTGTAGCAGAAATTTTAATATATACTTAAACAGAAACTTTGATATATCTATTGCCTATGCAAGAGCAAACCCTAGTGTGAGGTAGAGGTTTTAGAAACTTGACTCTTCTGTTACTATCCATTTATGTGGATTACTAATAATTATTTTATTTCATTACAAATTAACTACCATTAACTTTGATCAAACCTTTTGAAATAACACATTTTACAACAGATGCTATTATCAACAGATTCCACACAATTTAAAAATATTTCCATCGTCTTATTTTCTAAATCCTACTTTATGTACACATATATCACATTTATACAAATGGGATTGCTTACCGTCCTGATTATTGCTTTAACTTAAAAAATAATCGTTTATAAAGGTGTTTAGAATAAAATGCCTAAAAAATGGCCAAACGCATTAACCGTTCCTTTTTACTAATTCTGTTTTCCCTTCTATTGCTTTTGGTTTACAATTTTTTTTTAAATACTACCTAATATCAGACAGTTCGCTATTCCATTGGGGTAAGTTACTTAATGCAACTAACTAACTACTAACTATGCAGAAAATAAACAATGCAGAAATCGAGTAACCGGGTTCGATCCCCGCTGGCACTAATGAAATTGTTAATTGCAATTTTAAGTGCTACCACGTGCTCGGCGGTGAAAGAAAACATCGTGAGGAAAACCTGCACGTCTGAGGAATAAGTTAAAAATATTTCGAAGACAGACAGGCGGCGCGGCGGACACTTCTTTGACCTAAAACAGCCTCTCAAAAATGAGGGGAGGTCTGTGCTCAGCGGTGGGACGTATATAGGCTATAAATTTACTAACTTTTACAGGTACTTGAACAGTATTTCGATTCGTTCACCGTTTTACCGATCACAACGAAACGTAGTTGCAATCGTTCCTGGCTTAACGCTTCTGCAAGGAAATTCTTCCAGAATTTGAGCCTGTTTCGGAGCCTCTTGAGTGTAGTTATCTGAAAATAATTTAGAAGAATGTATACTTAACTATATTTGTTTTACGCGTTAGCTTGAAATTGACTATATACAATGTCAAATATATAATATCTATATTATAGCATTTATAACAATAATAGTCGATTGAATACACATTAAGCTAAGATAAAAATAAGGGTTTTGTAATTATTGCAGCGGATTTAATTGTTATGAACGGATTATGTACCAAATTTTGGGATATTTGACAAAAATCATAATTTTCACAATAACTGGAAATTCTAAGATGTAAGTTGATCTGTCACCCCTCAAGGCTTTTCATTGACCTGTATACCGGTAAGTCAATTTTTCTAATAAATCAATAAAATCTCATCAGCGCCTAAAGCGTAATTATAGCTACAAACATCTTTATGCTCGTAATTTTTTTTGAAAACTGAAGTGAAAAGCGAAATTACAATCCAACTGATGGCTTTATACGTGGTGAAGTCATGCTGTAGTTATATTAGTAGTACAGTTGTAGCACGAATGGGTCGGCTCGACCGCGGAAGGACTACGCTCTCACAGGATACCAGCGTTAAATAGTAGCTTAATGCTGCTGTGTTTCGTATGGTGAGTGTAGAGAACCGGAGACCCTTTTTACTGGAAACGAGGCATTTTATCTCTGTCCTCACGGGTGACAACGCATCTGCATTTTTATTCGTAATCGTGGATAGGTGTAGATGTGTATCGGCCACAGCAGCCACTTACCATCAGGCGGACTGTGTGCACGTTTGTGTTATTATCTTATATAAGAAGGTCACAGATGAGTCACCTCTGAGGCCTACTGAATGCCTCCCAGCCTGGAATCATACTGGCTGTGTAATGTGTTGTATACTCTGCAAGCCGGATCACAGCAGTCAAAATACTATTGACGATTTTCGACTAACAATATCTTCAAATTTGTCAATGAGTTACAGATTAAAAACTATTTCTTATCAGCCTTTGTCTATCAACAGGCCTTTCCATTAATATGAACAGGTTATGTAATATGTATATTTTATATAATTTATTTTGGTATAATAACTTAACTTCTTGTTATACTTATTTAAATGGGTTAAAATGTGACCGCCGTGATTCCTGGAAACACATGCATGTTCACGCAAAAAGGTAGGTATTACCTAAATTTCCTGGCTGTAACATGTTGAAAGAATCATGCCCACTTTCCACACATTGATTGACCTGTCACTTGATTCCTTTAACAGGTCGCGTCTACCTACAACTAATGTATAAAAACAATTATTGTTTGTAATAACATAATAACTTATCATCTTTTAGTTTAGAGGCCAGGGAAAAATGCTATTAAGTAAATAAAATTTTGAGGTTATAACAGCTGTCAGATAAAGTCTGTACAGTTATTTTTCTTTCCACACCATAGTATAAAACCATTAAAATCGTAATCATAAATTAATAAGTTATAAAAAAATAAATTGGTTATTTTGAATACTAACAAAACAAAGGACGAATGAACAAGTTTTTCGTAGTCTGAAATGGAACGTGGAAAACACGATTTTAATATATTTTGGCATAGCTTTTGGGCGTTTGAGCCATTGTAAAACTCGTTGCGTCTCCAAAAGTTTATTGAGAATGGTAAACAAAGTAACATAACTTTTTTCCCTGGCTTAATATGAAAATTAAATTATGCGATACGAAATAACAAAAAAATATGCAATTTTATAAGATATTTTACATCACTAGACACATTAGAAAATTTTCAGGTCAATAATGGACATGATTCTTTTTTTCTGTACTTAAAATAGCCAAAACTTAATAAAAGCACATTATTTAAAGATTACCTATAAAAGCTAACAGTAAGGCATCCGCAGAGTATTGAGGAAACAGAGGCGACCGTCTTCTCCAACCGAGAGCTTCGAACGTCTCCCCATCTGACGATATCATGAAGTTATACGGCATACCCGATGTGTTTGTCGCCTGTAAAAATAATTACAAATTGAATTAGTTAGTGTTTATATCACTGCTAGTAGTCTTAAAAGAAACGCCCTCATCAATCACCTAATTTATCCAAAATGGAGAGAATTTGCCGTAATCCCTGCGCTTGGAAGTTAGATTGTCGATCGCAATACCAGACGATGCTGCTTCTCTCGACGCTGCTTACCCACGCAGGTCTAAGAATTTTATTATAATGCCATCTACAGGTGACCACAAGAATATGTTGTCATGCATTTCCCAAGTTAGGAACTTATGTCTTTTACGATGCTTTTTTCCAAAATGTCAACCTCACTTGAACTCACTAATCGCTCAGCCCATTGACTTTCATTAAAATCTATTCAGGCGTTTACGATGGATTGTGTAATGAACACCCAAAAATATTCACAAACTTTCACATGTATAATACACATAAGATTCTTATTTTATAGCTTATACATACGAGTGGCAGCTTCATACCGGTATGCGAAATTTTTTAGGGCACTTTTCACTAGATGGAGTCACGACCTGGTAAGACATAATTGATGCAGCTTTCTGAGCCGTGTTTCGTGGCGATCCTTGGGAGAGGACTATATCCAGCAGTGGACTTTCGAAGGGTTGTACGGATAATGAAGTACTGAATATGCTATACAGATTAACTGTTACACAAAGCCCAGAGAATAATTAAAACACACAGGAGGAAGCATGGAGGTCAATCTTATGATGAGTGTTGAGAACCGGAGACCCTTCTTACGGAAACGAGATCATCTCAGTCTTCAGGGGTGACAACGCATCTGCATTTTGATTCTTCATTGAAGATAAATGTAGATGTCTATGGGCCACGGCAACCGCTTACAATCAGGTGGAGTGTATGCTCGTTTGGTTACCCTTATTCTATAAAAAAATATTCCAAATGATGTTCAATTTATAATCAGAAGGCAAATTGACACAAAGTGATTCTAAATATTTTTGATTCTAATTGTTTTAAATAGTTATTAAGTTAACTGTAATTTAAGACATCCACACGATCGCTAGCAACAGAGTTTAGCCTATTTAAAACATACATACCTACCTATGAAAGACACGCTAAGTTCTTATAAGATTTTAAAACATATGATTTATAAAGACGAGTAAGAATAATATCAACATCTACAGATTTTAACAAAAATCGCAATGGATAAGCAAAGCAATCAAGTTGCAGAAATTTAATTGGCTTACAAATTACAAGTATTTCGATAATCTAGATTCAACAAATGAATTAATTTAAGTCTAAGCGTAATGATTAAAAAACGAATGAGTATTTTTACAAAAGACTAGCGATCTGCCCCGGCTTCGCACGAGTGATATCTGGATTCTACAACAGCGCCACCTACCGGGTCCAACTATGCATATAACCTTCGCGGTGCAAGCAATATAATATTAATAAAAAATAATAAATAAATAAATTTTATTTCGTTTTAAGAAGTACGTGCCTTAAGAACTGTGGATCGGAACCTCCATTTAAGCAAAAAAAAAAATGCCTGTGTTTGGAGGGTCCGCCCTTCCATTACTACATTCATGTTACATGGCAGTATTGGTAAACATACTCTATATCATATATTAAAATTATCTATATATTACTTATATTCTAAAATTAGGACAATCAAACGATAGGAACTAGTCTACTTATAAATACTGTATGATATGTGAGTGAAAGTTTATTTATTTATGTGTACGTATGTGTGTGTGTGGTGTGCGTGTGTGTGTGTGTGTGTGTGTGTGAGTGAGTGAGTGTGTGTGTGAGTGAGTGAGTGAGTGTGTGTGTGTTTGTGTCTGTGCTTGCATGAGTTGGAATGAGTGTGTGTGATTAGAGTGTCTGAGTCTGTACAAATCATATAACACAATCCAGAAGCTTCTCAGTTTCGTCATATGTCTTAAGTTGAATCCTTTTCAAGAAAAGTTTTTTTACAGTTATGATATGTTTATTTCTTTGTTTATTTTATTATAAAGAAAGGCAGAACGCGATATGTATTGTCTGCTTGCAAATGTGGTTTTAGCTCTGTACGTCTGGGCAACCATGTTTCTACGACGTTTATTTAAATGGCGTGGATCATAAAATAATGATTTGTGTGTTCTGAGGATTGTCCAGAATATATACAACTTCCTGACAGTGAGTAAACCACTGGTACGATATAGAAGATCAGTAGGAAAACGCCTCTTCTTAAAGTACATAACTTTAATAAGAGAACGCTGCGCCCTCTCTAACTCCAGAAATTGAGTTTTTGCTGCACCACCCCAGACAGGAATACAATAGGCCATGACGGATTGAGCAAGAGCAATGTAAATTTGGTTGAGGAGATAATTTGGTGACTCCCCATCTGATTTGCCCAGCATTACATGTCTAAGGGTTTTGAAGATCCATGTTAGTTTCCTCGTTCTGTTGATGACATGATCAAGGTGTGGGTACCAGGATAGTCTTTGGTCTACAATTACCCCTAGATATTTTGTCTGAGCTACCTTATCGATTCTAGGGCAGTTACAGGTGTTTTTATTAGTGTCCATTGTACATTCATGAATTTTTAGGCTGAAGTCGGCCTGAGGTTGCGAGTTGTTGTTAATACTAAAACAGATAAAGTTTGTTTTAATAGTATTTAGCGTCAGAAGGTTGTGTTTCAACCACAGTGCGATTCGCAACAGGCCTGCCTCAGCACTAGTTTTGACTTCCTCCCAAGAATCACCGGCAAAGACTACGGCCGTATCATCAGCGTATGACAGGACTCTGGCGTTATGGATCTTTATATTACATAGGTCGTTGATATAGATGAGAAAGAGCGTAGGTCCTAAAACGCTGCCCTGCGGTACGCCACACGTCACATTAACAGCTTCACTAGTGCAGCCAGGTAGTCTTACTCTTTGTCTCCTGTCCGATAAGTAACTCTCAAAAGGGCGGAGTCCCTCTTACTCCCATAGCTTCAAGTTTATGTACAAGGATAGGGATGGACACAGTATCAAAAGCTTTTTTCAGATCGAGGAAAACTGACAGACATTTTTTACTTTTGTCAAATTACCTAGTTACAAAAGAGCTTAACTCCATGATTGCATCTTCTGTCGATTTTCCCCGCCTGAAACCAAATTGTGAAGATGATAAATTATTAAATTTATTTAAGTAATTTAGTAGTCGTGTTAAGTAGTTTCTCTAAGATTTTAGATATTGCTGGCAGAACCGAGATCGGTCTATAATTACTAATATCTCCATCATCCCCACCCTTGTACACAGGTGTTATTATAGATTCTTTTAACGTGCAGGAAACACACCTTTGCAGAAGCAAAGATTTACAAGGTGGGTGATAATGGGAGCCAAGTCATCAACCGCCAACTTAAGAAATTTATTGGGGATACTATCCATCCTGGGGCGCTGTGAGATTTCAGATGTAGGATAGTGCTACGGACTTCATCAACATGAGTATGCAGTAGTACAAAAGAATTTGATTGTGCCGGCTTATTTTCTATAAGTGTATTAGCTGTCCTTGTATCGTGTTGAATATTATTTGCAAGGTGTAATTCCTATATTAGCGAAATAGTCATTAATAAAGTTTGCTGATTCAGAGGGCGAGGACCTTAAATTGAGAAGTTTAGAATTAGTATTATGTGTTTTTTTCGAGTATGTAATGTTTTTAATATTGTTCCAAAGCAATTTATTATTATTTAAAGATTTTGTAATGGTATCCCTGTCGTATTTTCTTTTTATTCTTTTTTATTAAATTATTACAGAAATTTCGGTAGCGTCTGTAAGTAATGCGACGAATTTCATTATGCGGGTCATTACGTAGCCTTTTCTGAAGCTGGTTGCGATTTCTTATGCACCGCAGGATTCCTGGAGAGATCCAAGGCTGTATGATTCTTTTGCTGCATGGTATACGCGTCACATCAGTATTCACCTTTAGGCTTTCTATAATTCTTTCTATTAGGTAGGTAATTACAGTTGTTGGGTCATCAGTAAATAAAATATCAGATAGATTACTATTTTGTAAATATTTTAGAGCAGCGTCAAAATTTATAGTGGTTTTAGTTCTATTGTCTTTAGTTAAGTTTTTTATTTTTGAGATTGCTAGAAAAGTTGTAAAGTGATCCGTAGTTGTTGTTTGCAAAATCGCTATAGTTGATCTGTATTTAATTTCATTTATTTTTAACATGAAACGGTCAAGGCAACATTGCTGCCTAGTAGGTAATGTGTGTCCAGCTAATATGCCATGGTTAGCAAGCATGTCCAGATAGTTCATTCTGTTTTTGTACACATGCAGAGGTTCATTAGGTTTAGTTCGAATATTTATGTTGATATCACCTGTTATTATAATGCTCCTATGGGAATAAAGAGTCTCTAAATGAGAGTTTAGCGTATTGATAAAGTTTGTAGGGTTTGGGTTCGATGGTGATCTGTAAATACATAATACCGTATTATTTAATACATCAATCTGGAGACATGAAGTGTGATGCAAGATTACTTCCTTGACTTTGTGTTTTAAGCTTTTTTTTATATATACAACTACTCCGTCACTTTGGTTTAGTTGGGAAGAGGTACAATAGACTTCATAGTTATTTAATTGTGGGAGAGGTTTATTGTGGTTTAATCTACATTCCGTGAAGGTGACAATATCAATTTCAAAAGATAAGTTTGCCAGAGTAAGTGTAAAATCGTTAAAAATTTTATAGATACTAACAATATTCTGAGATATTATGGTTAAGTCATTTTTATTAATTTGTATGTGTCTCTCAAGATCAACGACATCGCACTCTATTGCCTTTGCTATTTTAATATTGTCTAATTCTTGAAGCGTATACAACGATTCAGCCATATTGAAACAGATGTACAAATAATCTAGTAGTAGTAAAAATTAAAATTTGCCTGACTGTAAGTAGTTGATAGTAAAAAGGGGTATAACGGAGAAGTGTTGTTCAATTAGTTTCATGAATAATTTAAGTAAGTATCTTACGTTAAGAGTGAAGATGTGAAGACATATGTATACTAC